GGTAACTGAACATGCATTGGGAAGGTTGGCACAGTGTTCCCATTCAGCAGAACTGGTGTGGAGTTAACAATTAGGATTAGGATAGGAAGTAGAAAATAATCACCTTCACTTCTGCTGTCATATCTGACACATGTCTACCTTCACACATGGCTCATTTTATAGTCAAGATTTTCCTCTAAAATGAACTTATAACCAGTACAACAAACACACACACACACACACACACACACACACACACACACACTCATTAAAATACTTACAGTCAATTTGCAAAGAAACAAAAGAAAACAAACGGAATGTTATCATCTCTTTAGGTTATCAGTAAAAGTATGCACACTGATAAGAGCTGAACTAGCAAAAATATCTTACAAATGCTCTCTCTCACACATAAACACTCTACAGACGTTCTTGTCTCTCCCCTCTTCACGTTTCACACACTTTAAAAGCCCATATGGTGTACCGATGCTTTAAATCTCATGCTCATCCTGGGTTGTTTTCAGGGATTTAGCCACATCTGTAATCAATGAGGGAGTTATTGATCTGTGATTATCTCCTACCGCTCTACCGCTATCCTTATCTCTCTGATGTTGTGAAACATGGCCAGTAGGTGCTCGCAAAGGACCTTATGAATTAGAGCCATCCATGAAAAGTGTTTTTCAGGGGATAATTGCAGCCCAGTTTAATATTCAACCTCTTGTGAATGGAGGCCCTCATCCTCACCTCCGCTCCTTTGTGTGTTGTAGCCAGAGGCTGGGGTTAGACTGAAGGGTGAATCTGGGGAGAGAGTTCAGAGGTTCACTGAGCTCTTGGGGTGGAGGTCACCCATTCGTTCAGTTCTTCAGGTCTCAGAATGTCTGACGCTGCATTCTGTACAGCCTTGAGCGTTTTTACTTTTTTTTCCTATACTACACGCATGCTCATTTCACTTATGCATCAGACATAGTGTACATTTAAAAAAAAAAAAAACTGACAGTGGTCAGGGCTTTTATTTTAATTTGCAATAGTAATTGCCTGACTATACTGCCAAATAAATAATAATAATAATAACGATAATGATAATGATAATAATAATTACTGCTTGATTATACTGCCTAAATTCCAAATAAATACATATAATTAATATTATTTTAATTATTATCATAACTTATATTGTATTTGATTTATTATGCATATTATATACATTTCATTTTATTTTTAATTACTTTTTGATTACAGATATTTTTTCAAAACAATCGTGTGTGTGTATACTGTAAATATACTGTACAGTGATTTGGTGCTTAATACATTTTTATTATAATCAGAGTTGAAAAAGCTTTTTTTCCAGGATCCTTTCAACAGAAAGTTCAAAAGAAAAGCATTTATTCAAAATAGAAAATTATATATATATATGCATTAAATGTATCAAAGGTTACAGTAAATACATTTATAGTGTTACAGTAATTTTATATTATACAAATAAGCACTGTTCTTTTGAACTTTATATTATTAGAAAGTTTATATTATTAGAAAGTTATTTCTAATAGAGCCATTTGAAAGTGGTCAACTGGGATCATGGTCAATTTAACATTATCACACTAAATACAGGGCTAAAAACAGTGCAAAAAAATTTATTTTTGGTCTGATCACTGAAATTAACTGTAAGAAGTTGTAAATACATTTTAGTCACTGATCACGTCTTCTCCCTCTTTCAGCCTTTACATTTGTAGCAGTCATTTTTACCACATGCTGCCAACAAGGCACTAAAATTCCCATAAACACCCTTGCCGGGGTCATAAGTCATCACTTACGGCGCTGCATCCAACTTGTCAATCAATAAAATCAATCTTCTTTCTCAAGGCTCTAATAGATATAATAATAGTGACACTGCATTAGTATTCACAGAGGATAGCATTTTGAATAGGCTAACAGGGGTTATTATTGAATGGGTGATGTTTATGTGTCTTTTTACTGAATGTCTTTAACCCTGGTGTCAGAGAACAGAGTGTTGATGTTACTAAGGATCCTCATGTTTGCATGCTGATTTTACCACTCGCAGGTTAACAGCCCTCCTCAAACACAGATGGACAGCTACTAAGAACTCTCTGTCTTTTCTTCCTTCACATGTACACACACACTCCTCTGGTAATTAAGAAGAGGTTTCTTCTCTTTATTGTCTCATAAAGTTCTCACTGCAAACATGTTTGTAGCTTTAAAAGTAATTGAGACTTTGTTTTGGAGCTTATTCTACAGAATTACGACTCTCGACAACACTTGGTGCTCGGCTAATCAGCCTTCAGGAGACGCATGACAGCTTTATGACACAAAAAATCAACACACACAATCACAGAAACACAAAGCACACACACACACCTGTACAGATACATAAGCAGAAATACCTGATCACACAGCCTGTAATTACACACACACTTGCTTTTCTGGTTCCTGTTGAAGAAATTACAGCAGCTTGAGATGTCTGCAGGTAAAAGAATCAAAACATACAAGGGACGGCCTCAGTTTGGGGGTATCAGATTATTTAAAACTAAGTTAAATTAATGTAATACAGATATCATGCGTCTATGGGAATGTTCTGCATTGTGCTTTTATTCCCAGCAGCATGTGATTTGTCAGTGAATTATAAGCAACATGAAATGACAGACAGCCAAAAACATTTTTGCTAGTAAGGTATTTTAAGTTTATTTTAGTTACCCACCACCTTAAATGCTGAATTGCTTTCTTTACTGCACAAAATGAGCTGTGGGACATTAAAGTAATGATCTGAGTTGACATTTATAAACGCTATTCAATGACAGGATACGATATATTTCAAAACATGATCAGTGTGCAAATTATGTAATGGCTGATTTTAAGGCTTTCTGTCAGCAGTTTTCTGTGCGACGCC